CCGAAGCTTTCCGTACATGGTAGTTTCCCTGACAAAGGGGACCCCAATATTGACCGCAAAATACTATAGTCCAAATTATTTTAGTCTATACCTCACATACAGTAGGGTCCTGATTCTCATTGCCATCCACCTTATAAGGCTCAGCCTCAAGCCCACACATAAATGTGGAAGCAGCCTGGCCAGCACGAATCCTGACGTCCAATCACAAGACTAAACATAAGGTAATACGATTCATGTGGCAGTTTTCCAACATAGTGCAACCTCAAAATAGGGTCCTATGTATTCTCCAAATCCTTGTCAAAATGACCCCCAAAACGGTACGCCTAATATTTTGTGAAACCCTCATGCATGATCAGCTATGAGCATTCTCGGCAAAAAATGGGCCGCACCAGAAGCTAGACAGTGTCAATCCTGCTGCAAGCTTGTGCTGTGCCGACCTTTTCTCACCCGCGGGGTCCCTGGCAGTTGTCCGGTATGAGATTATACAACTTCAGCTGCAACTATGAATAGCCTCTGCCCAGCTTTCCTACAAAACTTGAACTGCCCTATAGCCTCCGGATTTTTTCTCGCCAATTACCGCCAATGGCCTTAGCTGGACCAAGGAGCTAAAAGGTCGCAGAGCGCAAAGTGGAACTTCATTGCCACTCGCTTCTCCGTGCCTTGGTGGCCACTCTTTCGGCTCCCTGGTTGGGCTTGAAGGCTTTCTGGCGATGAAGCTGCTTCCATGTTTTTGCCGGTTCTATTAACCATTTTCAAATCGCACCCGTACACCTACTGAACATCAAGGGCAAATATATACCCTTTCATAATATAGTAGTTTCCATTTTCTTTTCCATTATCCCTATATAACCCCAAATATATCCCCTATATATTATAGTAGTTGCCATTTTCTTTTCCATTATCCCTATATAACCCCAATATAACCCTAATATATACCTTGGGTCTTCAAGGCCAGAGAGCCAACAAGAGGTGGCAGTGCTTATGGGCAAGCGGCAACGGCACAACCACGTGCAACACTATAAGCAGATCGAATAGCATCTACATCATGAATTGCAAAGAAGTCCTTCTGACCGGCAGATCAAGGCAAATTCATCTGTAGCGTTTTAAGGCCGCGCACGCATCATAGTTGCAAGCCTTCGGGATGCAGCGCATACTCAAAATCCCAGGCTTGCATAGGGATATGTAGCAAAACGAACGCCTCTTTGTAAACGTGAATTCTTTGAATCAGAACATCCCTGAAAAGCATTCTGCCAGATGCCCCACAAGGCCTTCCAACGACGTCACAGCCACTCTGATCGCGAGACGGGTCCCTTCTCAGCGTGTCTCCGCATCGGCTACAAGCTTTGCGGAGACGCTCGACAATCTTGGGCAGCTCCTGCTTCAGGGTTCGGGAATCCAGATCCAAGCGGTTTCAGGGTCCCAGGGAAGTTGAAACATCTCAAGTTTGGGGATTAAAGCTGCCAAACGTTTGAGGAGACTGTTTCACTGACAGCCTTTGCGGACTATAAACGCCTTTGTACCCTTTCCTTGCAAACACCAGAAAACCAAGATGTTAGCTGAGCTGCTCCACGCACGCATGTCACTGCTTACAGTACCTCCTAAAAACTTCAAACCTCTTTTCCCTAATAGTGATCCTCTCTCCTTTACTGGAAAAGATATTCCGATATTCGCAATATCACGCAGTTGACATATTGCTTATATTGGATGTGTACAATCCTGCAATGGATTGCCTGGAAGCTTAAACCCAGAACATTGTTCTGCGAGATTTGATATTTCGGTTGTTCTGTACACTACCAGGTAGAGATTGCTGCGCTATTTTGCATTCTCAGAACCCTATTGGTTACTGTGTATTGGTCTCATTAGTTCCTTACTCAGAGGAGGCACCTTCCGGCGAATGCACCAATAGAGGCTCACTGCCAATTTCCTGGATTTGGTGTTGGCGCCATGACGACTTTTACGTGTTCATCCACATTCACCTCTGACTTTTAAGTAGCATGCGTACATAAAACATGCATTGTTCCCAACATTGCCCCAGCTTCAGCGCCGTGAAGAACTGAAGAACCAGGATGCAGATCAGAAGCAAATCGTCATATTCCATGGCATGGAACACGGCACGCACACCAGCTACCCAAATGAGCAAGGAGAAACACCGTGGGGATTTTGAACCCAGATCAGGGGCCCTAGGCAAGCTGCTCACCGATTGCTAGGACAACAGTTTTGGCATTGGACCGTTGGGAATAGGCGGAATTCTTAACATGATCCACTTTTTCAAAAAGTCCCTTTCCCTGCAGCCAGAGACACAGAAAGGAAAGTGCGAAGCAGTGTCCAAAAACCAGTCTGCCCTTCCCCAAAAATGCTCTCCACTTGTCACACTGGTGGGGTAGGAGGTAGTTTCCAAAAAGAAGGGGCCCAGAATATGGACCCCCCCCCCCATAATGTACGGAACCTAACCCTACAAGTAAGAGTTTCCATTCCTGGTTACATTTGCTTTTCCACTTGATTCTCCATTATTGGGTAATATCCATACACCAATTGTAAACTGGATCTTCAGGTAGGGTGAACATTTGGCCCACAAGTCACGGACGTTTGTATATATACATATACATATATAGAGTAAGAATGGAAAAGAAGAGCGACAGTATCATTTAGGAATGTAGCGATCATGGAAAATAAACTGAAGCTACAATTTAGGGTTTGGGGTTTAGAGTCCAAAGTGAATGTACACAAAGCTAGCTTGCTTCTGGGGCAAAGGGGTAGAATCATCTCAAAGTGTAAAGCATCAACTGTTAGCCTCATAGAATGGGGATTTCCAAAAATTGGGGTGTAACCCTAAACCCTGTCCATATTGGGTTCAGGGTACGTTTTAGGAGAACCCAGAATTAGGATCATAGTATGTTTGCGTGTATAGTCCCCCTTAAGTAGACAGAATATGGCTTTGGGTATATTATAATGAGATCCTCATATATCACATATTCTATCTACTTAAGGGGGACCATATGTACTTGGGATGCTCACTTTCTTGCCAGGATTAATTTTGCACATGCCCTCTCCGGGACCCGTGATCTGCTGTCGAGTATTGGGCAAGCTCTAAAGTTGAGACCCTAAATCCTAAACCCCAAACCCTAAACCCTGAACCCCACACCCTAAACCCCAAACCCCAAAACCTAAACCCTAAACCCTATATCAGGCAGCTTTCCATCTCAAGCCTAAGGATTTTGGGCTTAGGATCCTCAATATCGACTAACTTGAGATAAGGCCCTTTGGGGTAAATGTGTCCATTTGAACCCTAAGACCTCAGAGATGCGACACATTTTCTGTGGCATGACAAGTTTGCTCCGAGCACTTGTCGAATCGACTCCATACTTGGAGGGTCAGGGGCACTTAGTAGGTAGGTTAATAACGAGGATAATGGGGTTTGCGGAAATGGATTATAGGGGTTATCAGTATACGTACTGAGTCCCCCTGACCCTCTAAGTATTGCCAGCTGCATGGGCCTCTCACCGGGTGTATGCCTTGCTCCCCTTCTTCCCAGGTATGCGAGCAAGGAACCCCGCAAGTGCTGGCTGATGATTTCCAGGTTCAGAGGTTTAGGGGAGTTTCCCCCTCAACTTACTAGTGGCTAGTAGGGAATTATTAAGGGAATATAGTCCCCAGATAATATATTTCCATATTCCTACAAGCTAAACCCTATATATTCAAGATTCCCATTCCCTACTAAACCCCAGCAAGTCGGGCAGTCTGAAAACAGGGAAGGCCATTTTTGTACTATTCCCTCTATAAACTGCCATTCAGGGTGAGGTCGGGTGAGGTCGCTTCAAACTGCACTGAAACGTATAGCAACCAGGCCTCCGCTGCTCAGGGTGGTCCGGATGGAGCTGGGGCGCTACATTGGGTTTAGGGTTTAGGGTTTAGCGTTTAAGGTTGAAACCATGGGTCCCTAGTATGGGGTTGCATTGTGTACTATTATTGCTACTATCATTATAGGGGTAATGGACATGAAAATGGCAACTACTATACTATAATAGGGTATATATTGGGGTTATATAGGGATAATGGAAGAGAAAATGGAAGCTACGATTTAGGGTTATAGGGTTTGGGGTTGAAAGGTACTATTACTACTACAAATTGTGCATGACCTTAATATACTACAGTACTATAATTTTCAAGGTTTAAGGTACTAGGGATCATGCAGATTTTTAGCAGCCACCGTAGTATGGGCCCTTGTCCCTGGGATCCTTCTACTTATATACCTATTATATACCTAATAGGTATCCTCGAGGGTCTCCAGAAACCCCCGAACAGGCCAAAAGACCCATGATTCAGCTGAATCCCTCTGGATCTGTAACGTACTGGTGCTTAGTAAGGAAAGGGAACATAATATATATTTTCACTATATAGGGATCATATTCCCTTATTTCCCAATGCGAGTAGGATACGTTGCGAGATCAATCTTCCCCGTGCTCCATCTGTGAAAAGCATGAAGCCCGCACGTGCAACAACCTAACTACCTGAATCAGCTGTCCATGCATCTCAGCAATTAAGAGCTAAGAGCGAAGAGAACATGCCAATTGCCCTCAACAGCATGACATCCAAAGCATGTATCAGATCTTAGATGGCATGTTGAGTATCAATTGCTGGGACGCATGGATGCAGCACAGCTAGCTGAGGGGCTCTGACCCTCTCCTGAGAAACGAGGGACCACAAGCTGAACCCTGCTGTCTTGATGCAGCAAATCACATTGTCACAAAGCGCCCATGACACACACACAAAGCAGGCTGCCGTGTCAGTGCCAAATTTGGCGGAAAGAAATGCAAGTAGTTATATTTCTTTATATAAAATACTATACCCCAAAAGGAGGATAGAATCTTACTCTATAATGGGTACCATAGTATCCCCAAATAAAATACTACTCATATGACCAAAGGTACTTGGTGGGCTACAAGGCGGTCGTCTGCTTTCGCAGATTAAAAATACTACCCTGTTTAACCTGAGGCCCGGTCTCACCACTGTGACGCCGACCTGGACAAGAAACAGCTGTGCCCTAAACTCATCATGAGGCACTGTGGTTGTGACTGTAGTTTAGAGAACCTTTACGGTTTAGGCTTTAGGCTTCCTCGTCCCAGAACATTTTTGTTTTTGGGTAAGCTCAAGTACTACTTCACGCGGCACCCACATTTCCCAGCCATATCAAGGTTTACCTGCTAGCAAGCCTCCCCCCATCCCAACATATGAGCCATAATCTAAACTCCTAGTATCCCCCTTAATAACTCCTATAGTAGTCCTCTATATAATTCCCTATATATATATATAAGCCCCTTTAAGGAGTTTAGACTATAGCTCATATGGAGGGAAGTGTATGTTTAACCTTTGCGGGATCTCCTTCACCTTAGAGAGGCTACGTCACGACTCGTATTGACGGAAACCTTCCAATTTTCGGGCTAAAGGATCCTTTCGTGTTCTCAAAGTTCTATCTCTCGAGCTGGGAGTTTTCAGTAACTGACTCAATAATTTCAGATCTTCTATCTTGTCAGCAGACCTCGCGATTTTTTTGCAATCCCAACGAAGCCTTCAACTCAACACCATACGCCCTGAGCCCTGGACCCTCAGCCGAGACTGCCACTATGACCATGTGAATAGCGTTCTTGTGGCGGTTGAACCAAGTAGGAGTATATAGTCTTCAAATAGAGTACTATACCCCAAAGAAGGATACCTGAACCCCAAAAGTACGTAGAATAATGGCCTTTTGGGCATTTTGGGCTATTATTTTACCTACTTTTGGGGTTTAGGTATACTCTTATTCTTCATTGGGGTCTATACTGTCCCCCAAACAAAATGCGACTCATGGGGCGGGAACTGCGCGAGCTCTTCGAGCTTCGGCTTCCCTTCGAGCCACAGAGCTGTCTGTGAGCCTGGGGAGGTGGGATATTGGGGTTATAGAGGGGTTATATGAAATAGAGGGGTTATGGAGGGGTTATATATATATAGGGGTTATATGAAATAGAGGGGTTATGGAGGGGTTATAATATAGGGGTTATACAGGGGATATTAGGCGATATAAAGGGTTTTACATCGATGGTGCCTTTTCGGAAGGCTGGGGAGGTTCTTGCAAAGGGGAAACCCAATTACACGCCCACGAGACTTAGTAAGACGGTTATAAAAGGGGACATGCATCCCCAAATCGGGGTTGCCCTGCTAATAGCCCCAATAGGAATTATGACCTACTGGACCCTGGATTCTTGAGGCGGGTGAAGGTGTGTGACGGCGCTGAGACTGGAGGAGGCTTTGAAGCCGGTACGTAGGGCCATCCCACTGCATGGGTTATACAGGTCAGGAGGACCCCCCCCGGTAATAGCGGTATAATCGGAATATACGAAGACTAATGTAACCCTTAGGTATCCCTTACAGTCACCATTAGGGGATGGGGGGGGTCCACCTAATAAATGGGGATATTACAGTACTCCACCCCAATCATGGCCTAAATAAAAAATACTATATGAGCTCGCGCCAACATTCTTATTCCCAGAAGCGGCCGCA